ATAAATAATAAAAATATATTAAATAATTTGAATAAAATTTTTAGTTTAATTATTTAAAAATATATTTTTTTGAAAAATTATTAATTAATTAGGATATTTAAAAATATATTCAAGATGTCTTTTTAAAAAAGGCTAAAATGACCTTGATTTAACGGAGTTAACGAAAGTGTTAACCAGAGAGACCATAACCAAGACAAATTGAATACCACAAGGATCAAATCCATAATTAACATACTATAGAGGCCCTAGTAAAAAAAATATCAAAACACAAGGACCATATCACAAATTCACTCTTAGAATTATTTTGATTTGAGTAAAAATTCAGGGCCAAATCTAGAAGCCTTGGTGGTTGGAATCAGATTTTAAGAGTGTTGAAATCTTTCAAAACTTAATAATCCAGCTAAATCAGAATGGGTTTGAGTTATTCAGTTTTTATGTTTAACAGGTTCACTTTAATTATTCTTTTATTACTTTTGGTTAAAGTGCACAGTAAATTATACCATAATTTTCTATATTTTACTTTTATAGTTTTAAGCATATAAAACAATGAACACATGATAAACCAGTTTATATTAAAGTTAAAATACCAGATATTGAGGTGTATTTAGTAAACAATACAGAATAACTACACATTAAAATATCCAATGTTGGAATGGAACCAAACCATTTGTGGAGGGTGATTTTTGTATGCTATATCAAGATTGTTTTGAAGTTTTGATTGAGGTCAACAGACCCCATTACTTTATAAGTGGCTCCGCCACCAGTAAAGATAGATTTAAATCAGTCCAAAAAATATTATTTGGTGTTCCCTTTTTATATAGTCAATATAAAATAAATGAAAAAAATTAATTGTTTAAAAAAAACAGAATTAGAAAACCAAGTAAGTCTTCTTTTGATCCAACTCAAAATAATATGCCGAGAAAAATGATTAATTGTCCGACACAGTCTGAACAAATGATGTCATAATCGCTGTAATCCCATCAAGTTTGGTCCAAATTCCGTTTCTATCCAAAAGTTAGAAAACCATCTATTTAGATTTATACGACACAAATTCCAATATCATATGTACTACAAACTTGAATACGTATTTATATGTTTATATACATCTCAAAGACTAATTAAAGAAGGAAACATGCTTAAATTCCAAATTACAAACATTTTAATCATACCAGAAAATCTTGATATTTCTACGACAAAAAGTTGTAATCTTACTTTGTCAACGAGCTTTTCTCTCGTTGCAAGTCTTTCCTAGTTTGGACTATGTGCTTCCACTTGAACTCAGCAACGACATATACATACGTGAAGAGGATTACTATTAACATGAAACACAATTGGAGATGAGCCGCTATCGTCACAAAACGTTGGGAAACATTTGAAAAGGAATCATATACGTCAATCAGGACAATTGAGAAGAGGGTGATGAAGAATACAGATAGGATAAGTAACAGGATGATGAATACAAGAACTATAAGAAAACATGAGATGAGTGAACCATGAAGAAGTGCAACAAGAAACAAGTCCAAATTTGGAACCATTTGATTTGGAGTATGGATTGCAAGAAGAATGACAAATTTGGGCATCCAACAATTTTGATACTTTTGGGTTTAATTTGTTGAATGAATATGAAAGTTGAAGAAGGGGAAAGGAACAAAGTAATCCTTACTTATTCCCCAATCTAACTTGATGCTTAAGGAACTTTTATATATATATATATATATATATATATATATATATATATATATATATATATTCACATACCTTTATTTACTTATTATATTTACTTGTATCATTATAATTTTTAAGGTTTTCACCAACGGACATTTAAATATGTTGGTAAATTATACTCTGATGGATTTCCTAAAGATCTTGCTCACAAATGTATGAAGGCTATGATTATGTTTGGCAAACTAGCTGGTAGCTGATAAGTTGACTGATGAACAAATCATGTTTGACAAAACTAGTTGATGCGATTATGCGAATGTAAAATGAGCAAAAATGATATATTGAAAAATTAATCAATTATTGTATTTTAAAATATAATTGATACAAATCTCAAATAGTATAATATATTAAACAATATAAACAA